TTCGAAGTATTCAGTGTTTAAGAAAAATTGTCTATCAGGTTCTCAAGGCATTTAAAAAATGGCTCAAGGGACAATTTATAGCCCTTTCATCTTGAACATATTCTCTATCTTAGATTTTGCTGGACAGATTCAATTTTCTCCTTCTTCTGAAACTCTTCCCTCTCTCAAATAACTAAATCATCTAAGACATTACCAATATAAAGAGAACAAACATATTTACTTCCTATACATTTGCAAATATATAAAAAAAAGAACACGTATTTCCAGGTAGTGTAAGTAAAGTTAGTCAATAAAACTTTGTCTTTTTTTCGAGTATGTGTGTGTAAAACAGGTAATTTTTCCCAAGATAACTTCCCAAAGAACAGAATTCTAAATAAAAAAATATTAAAAGGATTTATTAGAAGGATGATTACTTTAATTACACAACTCAAGACAAATCATTACTGGTATCAACTTCAAAGATAGCTGTAGATACGTTTTAGTTGTCTCCCTTTTCAAATCTTAGTTAAGAGAGGAACATTACATCTAATTTAGAAAACAATAATTTAATCCTTAGAAAGGTAAATTTCCAGAACACCAAACCAAAATGTATGTAGTAACAACCAGAATTATTTTAAAAATGAAGGAAAAACCCCCTTATTTAATTGATATTAAAACATAAAGAGTATTGTTAATTTTTTTTAAACTCTACTGATAAAAGCAAATCCACTCGTTTATTTAGCTATAAAATGTGTTTATTAAAATATTTTGATTATAATAAATGTACAGATATAACATTTTATCAGTATGAGCCCAGTGTATAAATCACCTTCCACAGCTGCTAAATTCTTCATAGAATTTTGAATAGCAAAATTAGGCATACAAATTTCAAATAAGAATCTCAATCTATGAAGTTTCTCTAATTCTAAGTGAAAGAAGAATTTGGAGTATATAATATCCTTAGGTTATTTCTGTAAATGGGTGTAATTTAATATAGCTCCAGACAAAGGATGTTCAACAGCTAGTAATTCTAAGGCATCAAAAAAACCTTAACACACCCAATTCAAATTAGATATTGTGCTGTGTCCTATCTAAGTAAATTCTCTAAGGAATCACAGATCTAGTATCTGTACACTCTGAGTGCATTTTCTAATTCAGGTAAGTGGCTAGTTGTGTAAAACAGAAACATGAAGTTTTGTATCACTGGATGTGAGAAACAAACAAACAAAAATCACAATACCAGCACCTTTAACTTCAGTTGATAATAAACTAAGCATAACTTGAAGTGTCCAAACAACCTAAACAATTCAGTGATCCAATTCAATTGGAAGAAATACATTGCCTTCACTTTTACAGAGATTAAATTTATTGATATTAGTATTTGGTTTGCCAAAGAGGCAACTATGCAAGATCTAAAAGTTTCATTAAATTTAAACATAAAGCATAATTCTGACAGCTTCTTGTCAGTGTAAGTACCTTGAACAGTTTAGAAATAATGAAAATGTAAGATAAACTTCAGAGGTTTTGTTAGGTACTGATGGCATTCTGAAACCCTGGACAGATTATGGGGTGAAGGGATGCTCTTCATTGATAGCTTAATCTCTTTCCAATCAATGTTGATTTAACAGTGGTTAATGGTATTGGTTTATTTTTTTTTTTAAATGAGTTCTTAGAAAGTTGTAATTGTTTCCAAAATGAGAAACCACAAGATGATATACTCACACACCACACAGATATAATGTTGTTATGGAGGTGTTTACAAAAGTCTAAAACTCAGCTGTGAGCACAAACTAACATACAATGAGCTACAAAATAATAAAAACATTCTTTATAAGAAGTTTAAATAGTCATCGCTAACTTTAATCCATTTCTATAAATCATGAAAACAAAGGAAAATAGAGATTTATTACAGAAATTCATATACCTGTTGAAAGTGAACACAAGTAATTTCTGTTCAACATTAGCCTTAATCCCACATAGAGTACAGCCAACAATTTAAATTTTGAAAATACTGTGAACATATAAAATGTAAGAGCTGATAGTAGTTTATGATTAGAAAACATTTCCTGTTAAACAGCACAAATAAATTCAGCTTAAAAGATGCAAACTGACAGGACTCATGATTTTAAAGTATTTTCTTTTGAAAGGCGCAAAGTTACATCTATGTACAGGATAGGCTTTAAAAACTAATGTATATATAAATTTTTTCCATAGTTTTGGTGTATGCACTCCCCCTCCCCCAGAAATGTCTACTACTCACAATGTTAAAGAATCTTCACCTCTCTGCCTGTAATTTTCAACCAGAGGTCCTCAATGTACATCTAGCCAAATTGAATATTAGGTATTTTACAGCTTTTACGAAATGGCTGTAAAATCACATTATGGGCATACATAGCTCTTTGATCTCACTGCACAGAATTCATAACTGTTCAATAATGCTATACCATTACACCACACACCTTCAACTATTTCCATTTTTCCACAATTCCTTCCAAAATCAGCTTCCAAAGCAAAGCAATGTAACAAGAAAAGTTCCTGGGAGGGCTTGTTACACAAAAGAGCAGCTTGGATACAAACTCAGCTATACACATACCCATCTTTTGCTCGGCTTGTTTATCCCTCTTCTCCCTCCATCACCCCTAAAGATGGGTGCACTTAAGTAATGGAAAGAGAAAGCCCTTCCATCACCACACCCTCCCAGCACCTCTGCTTTTGGTCCTCAGACAGTGAGTCTGTGTAGGTGATGAAAATCCTAAGAAAAGAGAAGCTGTCCCTTTAAAATGCCCTGCTCTGTCCCATATCCCACGTGGAACCAACATCAGCAGCACTTTCCCATTAACATCAATATGATGCAAAAGGCACCATCCTTTTATACACATAAAACCAAAAACCTCAGCTTAACATTCCTTAGTGAGGGTGAACAGGTGAAGCCAAGTGTCAGGAAGGGAGAAACCAAACAACTTCCCACTCCTCCCCAAAAAGTACTCCAGTCTTGCCCTCCAGCCTCTCTGTACAACATCACCTCTTTACCCCTCCTCTGGAGAGTCCTGTTTAAAGAAAGGAGGGAGCCACTAACAAAACCTGAAGCATAAATGCGACGAAAATGCAATGTAAAGCCGGAAAGGTTTATTCTTTCAATCACATATATTAACTCTATTAAGAAAATGGCATCACTTTTTTTCTACCAAAAAATAAAAAAATAAAAAACCCCAACCCCGCAAAGAACATTAAAAGGGAGTTATAAAATAGCAAATATGGTGTTTATCTTATCTCAGATCAGTCCACATTACCAATAAGTTTAGCAGTTTCTGCACTACCACCTCCCCCCTCCCTCCCCCTGCTTCTGTTGCATCGGATTTTCACGTTTTCTCATTGTCGGTTGAGTTATAAAAGGCTTTTTGCCCTTCGAAAGTTTTAAAAAATAAATAAATATTAACTCCTTGGTCCCTGCAAAGTAAAAATGGACTTCAGAGGAAAGGCGGTTCATACTTTTACCTTTAGCGAGAAAGGGGGGAGCATCCCGGATTTTTAGGGATTTTTTGCGATTTTTTAAAAATTTTTATTTGGTTATATGCCTGAGTTCTCCCTCCATTTTGGTTGTTTATGATACTGACAACAAGCTGTCCCTGCTCTGTGCCGATCTCCTGCTTTCATTTAGCACCCCCTCCCCCTACCCCCCCTCGCAGCCACACACCCCGGGCTCACACCTCCCCGCAGACCCCGCACCCCGACCCCGGCTCGCCCACCTGAGGAAAAGGCAAAAACAAATTCATTTCTCCAGAAAAGAAAAACCTCTTTTGAAAAAGGGACAAAGTTACCCCAAGTCACTCAAAGTGCCCCCCAAATATTGCCGACCGCGGGTTTCCGCCAGGCCCTTTGGGAAGCGACCTTCCCCCGGGATGTTTTGGTGGAAAATGCGGAGACTTTACTCTCAAAACTGAATTTATATTAATTTTTCCCTTATTTTTCGGGTCTCTAATGTCTTCCGCTCTCGCTGCTGCCGCTGCCGCTGTCACAATATTCACAGCACCAGAGAGGAGGAGGAGGAGGAGGAGGAGGAAAACTTTTCAAACTTTCCAGACCCTGAATAAAGGGTTTTTTTTTTTTCCCACCGACCTCACCTTCGGGTCCCCAGCCGCATCGCCCCCTGCCCTGTCAGAAGCGACTTCGGGAGTCCTCGCAGCCCCGCTTAATTATTTTATTTTATTTTTTATTATTATTTTTCTCTCTGGGGTCCTGAGCAGGGGCTGAGAGTAGCACAAACTTTTCCTCCTCCTGCCGCCGCCGCTGCTCCTCTGCCCCCTCAGCTAGTCCCATAATTTAAATAACCCTGATATTTCTCCCGCTAAACGCCTCTCCGCCGCCCCGAACCTCGGGAGAACTCACCGCGGGGCTTTAACATCCTCCCTCCGGCCCGTCCGCCGCCTTTACACCGCCCGCGGAATTTCTAATAATTTTTTTCTCATATTTCGGGCTGGACGCGGCGGGCCTGGAAATTGTTTCCTTACGCCTCTTTCCAGCAGCCATTGTAGTGTATGCGCTGCCCCTGCAGCCCAACTTGCAGCTGCCGCTGCCGCTGCCGCCGCCGCCGCCGACGTCGCGCCCACCGCCGCCTCCCCCGGCCTGCTCGGCCACCGCCCCCGCCTCCCGCCGGCCCGCCCCCACCCCCACCCGCCGCTGCGCCCGCCCCCTCGCGCGCGCTCCTCCCTGGGGCCGGCCACTCGGCGCCGCCGCCGCCGGGGTCCGGCACGCCCATTGGCCCGTGGTACCGCCCGTCACTCCGAAGTGTTAAGAGGCAGAGGGCCGCCGGGGGGCGCGGCGGGGCGGAGGCGTGGGCGGGGCCGCGCGTTCCGCCCCGCCCAGTCCTCCCGCTTCGGCCCGCCTCCCGCCAGCTAGGGGCGTGGCGAGGCCCGCCCGCCCCCGCCAAGCAGAGCCCCGCGCGCCTGTCAGTCTGGCGGCGCCACGCGCCGATTGGGCGGGTGGCCGCCGGGGAGCGGGGGCAGCACGTTGGGGTGCGCGCTACTTAAGGTCCTGCTGCGTGAGCCATTGACGTGTTTGGAGCCGGAGACGACCTGGGCGCTGGCGAAGCAGCGGCCCGAGGTGAGTGGTCCCCGCCTCTCCCTCCGCGGCGGCTTAAGGGAAGCGGGAAGAGAAGGGCACACTTGGGTTGCTGCGGGACGGAATCCATTTCTGCGGCGCAAAGCCGCCCCCGCTAGGCCTTGCCGCTGCTCGGGCCCCTTCCTGTCGCTTCTCCTCTGGCTACACTGGTCTGTTCGGCTGGGGCCGAGGAAGGTGACCCCTGCCTGGTCTGGGGTCTTTTTCACTCTCCTCTCCAGCCTTTGAAGCGCGATTATCTGCCCTACCCCCCGCCCCCACTCTCTGCGTTCTCCTAGCCCCCGACCCCTCCTCGTCGCACGGTGTAACCAGGTGTGTTCACCTGTGCCCGCCATCTACCAGTAGACGCTGATGGGCAGTACCGCAGCAGACAGTGCGGCCTCTAATCGCGTCCTCCAGGTTCTTCTTAGATCTCCTCGCCCTCTCTGGCATGCATCCTGGACTTCTTGTCGCTGGCCCTCAGCATCCAGCAGTGGATTGACCGCATGGTGTTACTGCTTCCCGATTCAGCAGCAGGCACAGACCTTGCCTAGGCTCTTACCTGCCTGTGGGCATGGACGTGTTCACTAGCGTTTCCTTCCTCCTTCCGTTTCACAGCTACTTGGAGAGTGGGGACATGAATATGGGAAATAAGAACAACAGGGTTAATTAGTTCAGTTTGCCCTTCAGAGTGTATTTTAGGGTGATTCAGATATGTTTGTGTGGTTTTTAACGGCCCTTCCCTCAAATCTTTGGTTTTCTTTCTGGTTTCCTCTCGCAAGTAGGAGAGCCTTGTAATATTTGTTTAGTGCTGTACCTTCAAAAAGTAAGTAGATAAGGCCTCCTTCGCGGAGCACTCGATCTTGCTCTTCAGACTGGCTCCTCGCTGTAAATTGACATTTCCTCTTCATGTCCGGGTAATACTTAGGAATTCATGCAAAGGAGGTGACATTCAGAAATTCAAACATAGAGGGACTTGTATTTAGACTCTGGAAGGAAAAGAAAATGAAATGTGAATAAACTCTTGCAGCAAATCTGATCTGGGTGTATATGATGTTAGCTGTGTGTTATTTTTAAAGAATTTTTGTCTGATGATGCTAATGAAATAGAGTAATAAACCTTCATGTAAAGCCGGAGTTTTGTCTGTGTCTGATTGTTGTTGAGATTATTATATCCAAGGTGGACAAACATGTAAGCAGAATTCTGTGTTCTCATATCACAGGATAAATGTGAAAAGGCTGTGAATTACCTGTCTTCGTAAGGGTCAAGACTGCAAAAGAACTGTGTTCCGAAAAGAAAGAAGCTTCTGGATATAATTGAACAGCATTTTGAATTTTGTTATTTTTGAAGATGTTTCTGTTGGTCGGATATTTTCAACAATACATGTGATTACTAAAGTTAAAGAACCTCCCAAATAACCAAACATCTTTTTTCCTTGAGACAGGGTCTCATGTGTAACCCAGTCTGGCCTCAAACCCAGTACTCGACGTCCTCCTGCATCAATCTCCCAAAAGAGTTGGGATTACAGGCCTGCCACACCTTGACTGGCTTTGACAAAACCCTTTTCTATTCTTTTTTTTTTTAAGCAAAGATTGGTCTCCTGATCTTTCCCATAGTAGAAGAAATTGGACCAGGTGACTCTTGAGTGAGAATACCTCCACTTACTAGGAACTTAAGGGTTTGGTTATTTTTCCTGAATCTGTTTCTTTGGGGGCGGGGGGCAGTACTGGGTTTTGAACTCAGGGCCTCACCCTTGCTTTATTTCTTTTAACGTGACTAATGTTTTTGTGGTCCCATTTTTTGTGGCAAGAAAAGTTGAAACCATTTCATACAAAACTTCTGACCTCTGTCTGGTTATTTGGGCCAATGTCTATTTTTATTCAGTGGAGTTTTGTAGATTGCATTACATTATTTTGCTGGCTTCTCTTCTGATCTTTAGGTAAAAGAATGAGTAAGCTAGACAAGGATTTGGGAGTACAAGCCAAATCAACTCCCTTAAGCTTAGTTCAGACATTTTAAAATATTATAGCTTGTTCATGGTTAGTATACCAATATATTGAAACAAAAAAGTCACTTTGAAATAAGTTATTTTGACTATTGGTTTCTAAGATTTTCTCTCTTAATCCTTTCTATGACATTTCTTTGAAGATAAAAGTAAAAGTTGTGCCAACTTCATTTTGGAGAGCAGTTGTCCTGGAATACTTATTTCATAAGCATGTGATTTGACTTGGAGTAACTAATTGGCTTTTAGGGAACTGATCATCTAAAATCAATAAAGACTTTTGCAAAACTGTATTTCCAAGACTTGAGTTGTAAGACTCAAGTAGCATTTCCTGACTTCCTTCAACCCAGAGAAGTGTCAGTTAAATAGAAGATGAAGATGCTACTGGAAGTAAAATTTTAACTTGAACAAAAAAACAGCAAAAGAAACACTTTGGCTTTTCAAAACGTCAATTAAGCAACATCTTGGCTTTTTTGGTATATTGGCTGCCTTGGTGTTGGCAACAGAGAATAGGCGCTTTGTACTTTAATTGGATGGAAGGTTTTGCTAAAGTTTGACTATACTATTCTTTCCTTTTTGTATGCTAAACAGTAAGGAAGTATTATTAGATTTTTGTTAATACATTTAGTTGCTTAAACTTAAAAAATAAGAGTAATCTACATACGCAAAGCCCTGAGTTTAAACCCCAGTCCCACACAAAAAAATAAATGAACTACAACTCAATTGTGGTCAAATTATCTTTGTTACTAGATGTTATAAACAAATTTCAGTGTATACATTTCAATATGGCCTTTGTGTTGAGGCTGTGGCAACACAAAGAAGAAACTCATGCAAAACTTTACCTTTATTTTTTTGGTGGTGCGGGGGGTTTGAAAGCCAGTGTCTCACATTCACTAGGCAGGTGCTCTACTACTTAGCCACACCTTCACCCCTTTTTGCTTTAGTTATTTTTCTGATAGTGTAGTGTTTTTTTGCCCAGGCTGGCCTTGAACCTCAGTCCTCCACACATCCACCTCCTGAATAACTGGAACTACATGTGTGAGCCTCTGCACCTAGCCCTTCAAGTCTTTATTTCTCCAATGGAGGATATATGAAATTCCTCACTAGATGATAATTATGAAAAACTAAAATTTCAAGTATTTGTATTCTAATGAGATTTATTTTCTGTCATTCAATCACCTAATACTGTTTTTCTCTGTCTACGTTCAGTAAGAAGACATAGGATGCCTGTGGTGACACAACGACTAAGAGATCCTGACATAAACCCTTGCTTGTTGGTAGGTTTGCTTCTCATTTACATGAATTTTAAATTGGAAAAAACAGGCTGCTTCTAATTTTGTGGGCATCTATTTTTTTCAGTTGTTAAATAAAGTTTATTTCTATACAAAAAAGTATTCCTGGCCATTGTATTTTATTTCACTAGAGCATTTTAAAATGTTCATAACTTAACTAACACAGATTCTTTTCTTTAGTTTCATTTATTTGTAAACTATGCAGATGTTTAGTTGTCACTATGAAACTAGATGGGCATATGTAACACTGAAGAAAATCTTTAGTCCAAACATAGGAAGCTGGGTGGTATCACATTTTTAAATTGCTACTGAAATTTTATGGCTTTTATAGTAGTAATTTTATCATATCCTTGAGACAACCTGATTTAAGAGTAAGGGACTGCTAATAGAATTAGCTCATTTTAAGCCTGAAGGTTTTCACAACGGTATCTTATGAATGGAATGTTTTGCTAAAATATAGTAAGCTTTTATTTGCAGTAGTTTATTGTGGCTTTGCTACTGTTGAATAATACAGTTGCAATATTGGTGCTTTGAGGAATTACACTCCCCAATCCATATTCATTTTTAAAAAATATAGGTTCATTAAATATTTGGCATAAATATTTAGCTTTGTTCTGTATATTAGATTAGTTTTCAAGAGCTTTACTAAATAACATGTTTCTTAGATCTGTGAAGCAAATTACTTACTTGTTTAGTTAAAGCTTTCGTTTAGACAACTTCTCATAATCATACCTTGCACTTTGAAGTTTATCGTTCAGTCTGCTTCCAGTTCAGACAGCTTAAATTTAATTTCCAAATGGCATCTACCCTCTTTTAGGCTCATAGCACTGTATTGCTCACTTTGGTTTTGAAGTGGTATTAATGGTAACTATAAATTGCTTACATAATAGTGTGCTTACTTATGTAATAGAATGATTGACAGCCCAAAATGCATTGAGGTGAATGGTGTTAGTTTAGGTTACCTTGATGTAAATCACTTATTAGCAATTTACCCAGACTCTCAAAACCAGCATTAAGATCAAACATCAAGTAAAAGAATTTGGAAAACCAAGAGAACTGCACTATGAGTCAGGTTTCTGATTCCAGCTGCACTGTGGAGAGTTTCAGCATATTGTGTCTTGCTTCAGTCTCTGGATCAAATGATAACAGCTAGTACTTTGGTTCAAACCTCTGTGATCAGATATTTAGAAAACTGGCTCAGACTCTGAAAAGAAAGATGTCTGCCCAAGCAGTATGAGTTCTGGGATAGCTGGCTAGATTATTCAGTTTTTTTAGTCTACCCATTAAAATGAGTAAAAATGATCCATTTCATAACTGCTTTGGGAGGAAGCAGCCTCAGAAGTTTTTGGTTTGGGGTCTTTCTTAGACCCTATTTAACCTTTTAAATGATGATTCTTTTACATGTTTAAGGAATCTGATGCTTCTACCAGATGCATGGATGAAAATAACTATGACAGGGAAAGGTGTTCCAGTTACTTCTTGAGGTACAAAAATTGCCGGAGATTCTGGGTAAGCCTAGCTTGGTAAGCTTTGTGTTAAAACCCATCTTTTTGGCTTGAAATTCAGGACTAAAATTAGTCAAAACCCACAGTCTTTTCCTAGTAATAACCATAGAAAAGCTAACTTTTCAACCTTAGCTTCTGTGTGCTATTTTAGTCCTAACTTATCCTTGAGAGCTGTTGTATTTCATCCTAGGGTATAAGAATATAGCTTTAATATAAGTGAGTCTTCCTAAGTATCTGCAGCTTTAAAACAGTAGCCTTGTAATAAACTTATTTTCCCTGGAGTTTACCACACATTATATTAGGTTTCCATTTCTGCCTCCTTTCCCTCTGCCATTTATTGTAGTTAAAAATGGTCCTATTTTTTTGAAGACATTGTTAGGTCATTTCTGTTCTCCTGAGCACTGGATCCAGTGCAGTAGCTCTTGGTGGACTATAGACACTCTTGTATTCTTGTACTTACACAGTGTATTCCATTCCAATTACTGTTAACATTTCTAAGGGAATAATCCCATTCATTTAAATGGTAATAGTTTGGAACATTTATTTGGAGTCTCAAAACTAGGTTTTGGATTTGTTTAACTTGGTTTTTAGAATTTTCTTTGAGGAAACAATAGCAAATTACTGGCAAATGATTAGCATTTAATACACGACTGATTTTGTTTTCTTCTTTTATGCATGTATACAGAATTCTATCATGATCCAAAGAAGACAGAATGGAGTGAACCCACCTATGCCTACAGCAGCAGAAAGAGATGAAATTTTGGGAGGAATGGGAAAGATGCCTTATTAAATGTTTGCATTAAAATTGTTTATGTAACTAGAAGCAGATGAATATTTTTCATAAATGGTTGCTGTAACCTTGTTTGATTGGTCTCACCCAGAAAGATCTTAAGTTGTATAAGAAGAGAATTCAGTTAGCCCTGTTCCTTGACATTTGCTCTCAGTGCCATGACAATATGTTACTGCCATGCTGTGCTTCTAGAGGTAAGGGAGTATTTAGGAAGGGCTTTCAGAGTTGAGCTTTCTAGTGGGTTTGATAGAAAATTAAGATGTGAACAAGCAAATATTTAATGGGGCTGAGAAGAAAGCAGTGGTACCAAGGAAAGAAAATGATGCAAGTAATACCATGATAGAAGGAAAGCTTGAACTATAGTTGGAGTATCTGTAGACTGTTCCAGCTATTGTTAAAATGGGTGGAGGTGTGATGGAGAGAAAACTGGAAAGTTGAGTTGCGGGTAGATGTGTGGTAGGCCTCAAACCCCAGGCTTATCCCTAAAAATCTGTCTTTGCTTCACTCACTTATTTTTGTTTAAATAAAGTTAGTACTTTCACTAGGGTAGAAATGGGTGTGGGAAAGTTGTCCTAAAATATGGCATGAAAAAGAGCTAGCATTCTTTTCATTTTTTAAGGAAAGGCTTAGGTACAGGGTTCTGTAACTAAAACCCATAAATTCTGGATCACTTGAAGCCATAGGATCATTTTTAAATTTCAGTAATGGGGGAAAAAAAAAAAGAAATGGATTCTCTTAGAAGTAGAATTTCTATTTACAGGATGAGATCCAGGGACTCAACAGGTAAGCTCAACACTTGGATGAGACTAGAGTTCAGCTTCATTTTATGCTATAAATTTTGATATAAAATCATGAAAAATAGATTGGTGGATTATGTAAGACCTCTCCCTACTACTGTATCTAAAAATCAAGTTTATTCCATTTATAGAATATATTTGTAAAGATACATTTTTCAAATAAAATTAATGAATTCTCTAAAACAAATTGCTGTGTCCCTTGTCATCACCTGGTCCTGAATCAAGAGCATTGTTTTTTTTGTTGTTTTTTTAAAGAGCATTGTTTTTAATGGCTGTTGGTAATGAACTATCCATCTGAGTCCAAAATCCAGCTCAGAAAATTTTAAACCATATGATAGTGGTTGTTAAACATGATTGTTTTTGAATTAAAAAATGGTTTGTTTCAAAAATTCTTTTAATTTGTGTTAATTTTTGTAAAAATGATGAGTTAAATAAGACCTGAAAAGAATTACTTGGGTGGGAAGCATTTCAGTATACTTTCGCTTGTTTAAGAGTTTGCAATTTCATTGTCACCTCTTCGAATGTACATATAGTGTCAACATTCCATCTTGTAGATATTTGACCTGACGTCTCTTAAATTTTTCATTTTTCCCATTTTTAATTTTATATCTAAGTACTTCAGATACAGACATGAATGCCTGCCTTACCACCTATGTCTCTCTTGTGTGGGCATTCATTTCTCCCTGAATATATACCTAGGAGTTGAGTTGCTAAGTCATTTGTGACTAACCTTTTGAGGAACTGACACACTTTTCCAAAGTGACTGCACTGTTTTACATTCCCAGCAACAATGCCTGAGAGGTCCAGCATCTCCAGGTCCTCAACACTTGCCACCTGACTTTGATGTCAGTCATCCTGATGGATGTGAGCTTCTTTCTTCTTGTAGTTTTGCTTTGCATTTTCCTGGCAGTTAAGGTTTGTTGAATAACTTTTAATGTGTATGTTGGCTCTTTGTGTATCTGGGAGAAATCTTTCCAGAACCTTTGCACATTTTTTATTTCGGCTGTATTTATTTGTTGTAAGAGGCCTTTATATTTACTAGATATAAGATATTAGAAGTATGGTTAGCAAATGTTTTCTCCGTTCTGTGGGTTGAATTTTCACTTTATGGTGTCCTGTGAAGCAAAAAAGTTTTTAATTTCAGTGAATGCGAAACTAAACAGTATTAACCTTTCTTTTGTATTGGACAAAGGAGTTTCACGATGGTATTGTACTTTTACCAATTAACCCCTTCTGTTGCTCTCTCTTTTCCCCATCCAGCCCATCTTTTAGTAGGTTTCATTATGTTATCTTCATACAAAGACTTAATGTACTTTGATATTACCCTCTTTCCTCCTCCCCCTCCCACTTGCACCCCCTAAACAATACCACATTTACACGGATACACACACACACACACACACACACACACACACACACGTGTGAGTATGTGTAGGTGTAACTAGATTCCACATATGAGAGAAAATGTGACACTTATCTTTCTGAATCTGACTTATTTCACTTAACATAATGACCTCCAGTCCTACCCATATACCTGTAAATGATGTAATTTCATTTTTATAAATTTCATTGTGTATATATGCTATGTTTTCTTTATCCATTCATCTGTTGATGAGCACCTCGGCTGAGTCCATAGATTGGCTATTGTGAATAGTGCTGCAGTAATCATGGGTGTGCAGGTGTCTCTTCAATCCTGACTTAACCCCTCTGGGTGTATGCCCAAGAGTGGTATTGCTGGATCATATGGTGGTCCTATTTTTAGTTTTTTTGAGGAACTATTATGATTTTCATAGTGGCCACACTAATTTATATTCCCACCAACAGTGTATAAAGGCCCACTCCCCCAGTCCTTGCCAGCATTTGTTATTGTTTGTGTTCTTGACGATAGATATTTTGACTGCGGTGAGATGAAATCTCAGTGTTGGTTTGATTTGCACTTCTTTTGTGGCTAGGATTATTGACTATTTCTTTATGTATTTATTGGCCACTTGTACTTCTTTTGAGAACAGTTCATTTGCCCATTAATTGGATTATTGTTTCTTTGGTGTTTAGGTTTTTGAGCTTTTTATATATTCTGGTTATTAATCCCCTGTCAGCTGGCAAAAATTTTCTCCCACTCTATAAGCTGTTTCTTCAGTCTAGTGATTGCTATGCAGAAGCTTTTTAGTTTTATGCAATCTCTATTTGTGAATCCTGAGCTTTTAGAGTGCTATTCAGGAAGTAGTTGCCTGTCTGTATCTTCCAGTGTTTTCCTGAGTAGTTTCAAATTTTCAGATCTTTCAGATCTTTGATCTATTTTGAAGTGAGCATTAACCTTTTAGGTTAATTAACCTTTTAGGTTAACATCTCCACAATGAAATGCCAATTTCATTTTTTCTTTTGTTTTTGGCGTCGTATCTTCCATACTCTCCCAGCTGTTTTGGAATTTTTGATGACCAAACCCTTCATTTATATGTAATGGCTCCAGCCTAGTTGTTCAATTCTAAATTTGTTCCCTAATTCTTAGTTAGCTACTTTAGTCCTACCTTGATAACTTCGTATACTGTTCTTACAATTTGATTGTTCAAGATCCCATTGCCCCCACCTTTGAGGGGCAGAGTCTCAAGGGTTTTCTCATCGTACTGCTAAGGTTGCCACCCTTGTATTTTCTCCAAGATTCTGCTTTGGGAGAAGTGAAGCTAATTAACTTGATAAATTAATTGTATCAGGGTGTTTATAGGCGCCATAAGAAATTTTGGTGTCTGACAAGCCTTTAATATCAACTATGACATAACAAAATACATAAAAGTCATTTTACTGTGTTCATCTCTTGTGGGAAGCATATCATTACAGATTCTCAGTGTTGGAGGGTGGTGCAATCGTTTTGAGAATCACCACATTTATTTAGAAGTTCCTGGAATACACAACAGCATCATTCGTGGTTCAACCCATAACATTTGGTCTTCATCTAGTGTGTGCTTAAGAGAGGTGGTTGCTTTTAAAACTGAAAAATGTGTAGTTCTACAATGCAAAAGGGTAGACAATTGCAATAAATGCTGCAGAAGCACTTGATGTGAGTTTTCGAGGTTTTCCATATGTATCTGTGTGTGTATGTTGCACCAGAGGAGCAACATAGTTCCTGAGCTATGTGCTGCTTTGCTTTTTTCTCTTAAGGACCTACTTTGGGATAATTTTCTATCAGTGTTTATAGATTTACTCCATTTCTGTCTGTGACTGCCATTGCCATTTTATGTGGTGTACTATTATTGAAACAATCTCTTATTGATGGGTATTCTGTTATTGACAAAGGATTCCAACAGTCTTCTTTGTACCTGGGTCTTTGCCCTGAGTGTTTTGAGCTATAAGATTAAGAGTGCCATTTGTAGGTTAAAAGTTTCTATACTTAAAATTTTACAGATATTAACAGATAATCTCCCTCCAAAGAGAAGCACATCAATTTATACTCCATAAATAAAACCTGTGTTTCTTGACACTCTCAGTCCCACTAAGTACTTTAAAAAATGTTTTATGTTTATCTTCACCAATTTGATGAGTGAAAAATGGAACATGTGTATTCATTACTTTTCCCATGTTTTTTAGATTGTTTGTATGAATGAATTGGGAACCTTTTGGTATATTAAGAAAATCACTTCTTTGTCATATGTATTCTGTATATTTTCCCAGTTTATCTTTTAACTTTGTTTTTGACTCTTTAAAAAAATTTCTGTACAGTGTTTTATGTTTTCATGTAATTAAATGGATTAATCTTTGTGTTTATGTTTCTGGGATTCAAAAATATTAAATGGGTTCTAGTTCTATTATTCAACTGTGTTCAATAAATATTTGCCTAGTGTCTATAATGTGCAGAGCACTAGGCTAACTAGGCTACAAGGCATGGATGAGTAAGTCACCATCCTGGCCCTCAAGGAACCTCACTGTGGTGCAAGAGAGAATGAAATAGCACCATAGTAAGAGGGTAAGTAGCCTTCATAAGCACAAAGGGGTATCCACACATGACAATCTTGAGAAGTCCTTACTGACTGAAGCCAAGTATATGATGTAACAAGAGAAAAACAGAAGGTAGAATGAGTTCAGATTCTGAAAAGCCTTGAACGCTGTGCTTGGTATTTTAGTCCTTATTCTTATGCATGAGAAAGCTATGGATGATTTTGAGATGGAGAGGTTCTAATCCAATTTGTATTTAGACAAAGAATTCTGGAGGCAATTATAATGGGGTTAGTACAATGATGCCT